AGCTTATCGTGTGAGTGTTTGTCCGTCGTCATCCGTGTTAACTTTTTACTTTTTAACTCCGCTGTCGACTTTGTCGAGCGAAGCTTATCATATGAGTGATTTTTCAGCATCCGTGTCAACTTTTTACTCTTTCGACTTCTTCTTGAAAACTGCTATTCTTATTGCTTTGATACTTTGGGCAAACCCCTCTTAGATTTTTTCATTTCGTGATTATATCTTCAATTGTCTAATTTTAAAGAATATTTTTGTCATTTTTGGGAAAAAGTGATATTTTCGACTTCTTGTTAAAAACCGCAAGTCCAATTGCTTTGATATTACATATATAGGTACTACATGTGGAACTCTCTCAGATTTGTTCATTTTTCAACTTAAATTTTTTCTTTAATTGAAATGTGCATTGCTACCACCTGATCTGGTTTTTTTTTTTTTATATGCAAAGTGATCCTTGATGCAGAACACCTCTCATGTTCAACTGTTATTGTCAACGAGCTCAGTTCGTGCATGTCTATGTATTGCCTGTAATATGTTTACATGTATTATGACCGTTGCATGCTATAATACCGGTAGTAGATAAAAATTACTGTCATTAGCAATGATTACTTTTTTGTATTGCAGCAAGCATTCTGGACGTTGGTATGCATATGTGACAATTACTTAGTGGATTATTTTAGTCCGGGTTTGGAAGCTGTACAAGTAGACGGAGACGTCTTATTTGCTTTACTGAAAAAAGTCCTTCCATATACTTACAAACACTTGGTGAGTTTGGAATAATATGTGTGTGCAATGTACGATGTTGTTTCCTTGGCGATTTTTATAAGATTGACATATTTACTGCAGGTTGATTCACCTGGATGGTATCCAATTAGTAGCACATGTAAAAGACAGACATCTATCTTTGGTTAAAATAATTAGTATTATTATACATCTGTCATCGTAACGCTGTCAAAATTACATCATTTTTCATCCTATCGTATAAGGAAATAAAAATTCCAAATATGGAATGATTACGTGCGTAACAACAAAAATCACTGCCACTAGGGTTTGACCAGACTCCACACAAAGAAGTTTGTTGATTCTGTTCTAATCAGTTTGGATTTCGGCATTCCCATGATGTATCCTTGGAAGGCAAAGATGTATAATAATAAGACTATTACGAGGATACCTCAAAGTATGCACTCAAACAGTACATCATCGCATCGATCTCCGCTGCGCATCGGTCGTTACTCCCGCTGTACTGTCTTAGTGCATACTTTGAGGTATCCTTGTAATAATCCCACTATTATACATTCAACTAGTCAACAAATTTTAAAAACATTTTGAACCTTCAAAAAAGAAACATTGTTTTTATATAGTTTCACGAGGAATAACTATTAAAAAAGATTGACTATTTTGACATGCCAGGAACAAAAACATCACAAAATAGTATGCCGTCACATCAACCTCTGCTCTGCATCGTTACTCTCGCGGTACTGTTTTCATGCATACATTTACTTTGAGGTATCCTCGTAATAACCTAATATTAAAATGATCCAGCATACAATATAGTGTAATTTTTATTTTAGTTTATGTGTGTTTTTTTTTAGTGATGCGATTATAATACAATACAATATGGTATAATAGCAAATACGGTTTAATTCCATGGCACACGCACAGTCTCAGTATTAATGGCTTTCTTTTTTTAAATATTGAATAATAAATGTACCACATTACTAATCTTTTCTTGTTTGCCTACGATGTTGACCCTGCTTTTAAATATTGTATTTGCATCGTTTTGGATTGTGAATGATATTTTTGTGTTTGTTTTTTTTGCCAGAAAAAATGCCGAGTTGAACCCATCCTCTACATGACAGAATGGTTCATGTGCCTGTTTTCAAGAACACTACCATGGGCCTCCGTACTCCGAGTCTGGGATATGATTTTCTGCGAAGGCGAGTGATGAATGTTTAACGGTTTTCGATAACAGAAATGTTCTCAAATATTTCAGTGGAGTTTGAAAAGAAAACTTCCATGACTCGCTTTGATTCTTGTACTTCATAGAAACACGCTACATTTTCACTGAAATACATTTGGTAATTTTCACTAATTTATACAAAACTTATTGTATTTTGTGGCTGCACAAATTAAAGTTCAGTGGATGCATAATCTGAACGTAAGGGCATCAATTCTCGTTTTTAAACATTTACAATTTTGTTGTGCCTAAATTGTCGCTCATCAGAATTTCCGTCAACTTTGTGACAGAGACTATAAATTGGTTACTTAAACTCGGTTTTATGTTCGAATTTAAAATGACATTCCAAAAATGGTTTTCATTTTGATATTTAGTATTCAGATCATTAATTATAATACCAAGTTTAGGGAGTCCAAATTACTGACATTTATATGTTGTTGAATATTACAGGTGTAAAAGTAATGTTTCGTATAGCTCTAGTGATATTCAGATACACCCTTGGCAGGTCAGATCAGATGGCTCAGTGTCCCGGACTTTATGAAATATTAGATAAACTCAGAAATATTCCAGAGGAAGTGACGGAGGAGGAGTTTCTCGTAAGAGAGGTGAGGTGACCAATGTGTAAAGCAAGCTTACTGATAATATTTCTTTTTCCATAGTTTACAGGCTTCCTTCCCCTCATCAGGTTTGAATTTGAATATTATCTGGTAACTGGTGGTTGTACACAGATCAGTTATATCCACTTCAATCTGATTTTGTTTCAATTCATTGGTTTAAAATGTCTACCACTGATTTCATCCCATTTAACAACATGTATGCTTAAAGCATACTCGCTACAATTTAAATGAACTATCCTAATGTGTATGTGTAAATATATTCCCCTGCAAACCTTATCCAAAGTATAAGCTCCCCCAAAATTGAGTGAATCTCGGCAAGTGGATTGCTCTCTGTCTTACACTCACCCAGGGTACAGTTCACTTTCTGTTTCTGGTTAGAATTTCAACTTAGGAACTGCTTATGACGAGACCATGCAACAACTGCTGGTGATCAGTGAACAGTGAAAATATATAAGGGGTTACATTATATAGCGATTTTTTTTTTTGAAGTTAGATCAGTGGTGTTTCTCAGTAATATTAGGGATACACTTGGTTGTAAGTTCTTGTAATTTGTTTTCCCTTACCTTGTTCTCTTTTACTTTGTAGTCATTAAAACTGAGAGTGAATGAGAGAGATATGGTACGGGAGCATCAGTTACACAGAGCGAAAAGGCGAGCTAACCAAAGCCGATTAGATGGACGTACTGCTGCGAAAGCCAATTCTGATGGACGAAGCGGAGCTCATAATTTGGAAAAGATAGATGGGCAAAAAAGTGGTAGTAAACCTAAATCAGATGGACAAAGTGGAGCACGTAGTTTTGAGAGGTTAGATGGTAGAAGTGGGGCACATGCATTTGCGAGGTCTGCCAGCCAAGATGGCGCGTACGGTGTGCTTGGAAGCCCGAGTAGCACAGCAAGCTCTGACTCTTCAAGGTACGAGAGTAGGAGCCGAGAATTCTTAGCAGAAAATGATATCGGCATGCCAGACGTTAGCTAGTATTTATTATGTGTAGTGCTTGCGTTACGAGTGCACATGCTTAAGAGACAAATCAGTACATATTCGCTGGACGTATTTTAATTAATATCGAGAGAATGGTGTTGATGGATATATTACATATGTGGCAATGATGTAAATTACATATGTATGTTTTATTTACATATACATATCAAAGGAATATGACAATATACTTTAAATGGAATAAATATTCAGTGGGAGTGGGGGGGGGGCACTTTTTAATACTGGGGATCTTAGCTTCGGATTAACGAAGCTGCTGAAATTATGTTTTCTTCGAAGTTGTACTTCAAATTGTTATATTGTATTTCTACTTTCACAAAATAGTTGATTAGTATCGGAGTTGTTCATTTTATGATCCATGTTACAAATTTAACGTGCGTCTAAAATTACTGGTCTTATCTCAGTTTAAGGTAAATGTTTTTCTTTTCTCGGAATGGTCGATTCAAATGTAAATTTTGATATTGAGCTTAAAGTGTTGATAAGTGATTGGACTGGACTATTTGGTGAGGACATTAAGCGAGTCACGTGCAAATGAGACTTATCATAAATCTGTGTTAACATATTTTTTTTTTTCTACCATCATAAGTTTGAAGGGTTATGACAGTGATGCTTCTAAACATCGGCCAATTTTCATCCACTGCAAGATCCCGCATTATGTGTGAAATCAAACGTAAAAGCTGGACAAGCAAATGTTGTTGTGACATCAAAATCATCGCATGGGATTCAAACATACAAAACTATTTTTTTATGTATAATTGGATGATATCTCAATGCCTTATTCCTCTCTGAAAGATGGACATTTTGACATTGATCTTTAAAACAGAGAAACTCAAGTTTAGAATCAAATCAATCAATTTTCGTGACAGATGTTCTGTTTGCATCTTTCACTCAGTTGTACATTAGTTGTATGATATCATGTCCATTTCCCAAGCGCTGACACAGACCTGCGGTATTGCATTGATGTTACACCTATTGATGTCAATGGTACTGTTAAGTCCACTTTATATGTGACCTGGTGAAAATGCAGCAATTGCAGTTTTGACCTTAAATCCGAACATTGATGCAGTATTCTATCGCCAAAACGATAAATATTAATGTTTCTGTCATATCGTCACATTTTTTTTTTTGTCAGAACTTTTTGAAAAAAGAAAAACTTCTTTTTTTAATGATAAATCTCAAATGTGATGTCAATTTCGGAATAAAAAATAACCAGCGTGCCAATTTTAGAAAGCAAACTGACCAGAAATATTTCTTGATAATAAATCACTTTTCTGCTTGTAAATATATTTGTTATTGCTTTACCTAATTTATTATTAATATAATTGTCAGTCTAACTTTGCATTTTGATTTAAGAAGTTTTGATGTTCTGAATCTTAAATTGTTGTATGGTAAACGAAAAACATGTGTCTCAAATTTTTGCTCATATTGAAGTGCTTCACTTGCTTGTTTTCATGAGTTGTTTTATTCAAGAACATAAAGAAGGAATTATCGACTTTCAATTACTCGTATCTTGTTAAGTGGCCCTCTATGTTTGTTCAAGTCTCCCCTGTAGAGGGAGCACTTGCTGTGAAACCAAAATATCATTTTAGATTTTTGACTAACATGAAAGGGTTGAAGCAGTCTTTATCATTAATAATGTAAAGTAGAATGCAGTTGATTAATATGTGCAATTAACTGAGCCTAAATACCTCGTAACCATGACAATCCACAATCTACTTATTATCCATAAGTTTAAAATCACTTGCATGCCATGCATTGCTTGCTGGCTCGTTACCAAAAATAATATTGTCACTGCAAATTACAAAGACTTATTTGCATATCTCTGCTTCTAACTCCAACCAAGTTATGCTAGGGATGCTGTATTTTCTCAGCTCCATAGTGAGGCTGTGAAGTATAACTGCACTTTTTCTGTTTTGATCTCCAGACTTTTTTTCCCCCTCTCTTCCTCTGTAATTTTGCTACAAATAAAAACAAGTGGAGGATATTACACCACTGCCAATACCCGTTTATTTGACTGTACTGTGTTGGCCAGGGCAACCCTAAATTCTGTGTTTCTTGCAAGTTATTTTAGAAATTATATAAACCAACATACAGACATCAAC